CCCCGCGCGGGCCGCAAGGTGGTATCTCATGCATTCATCGATATTCACATCCACACCCTCAAACATTACTCTGTCAAAAGATATTTTACGTATCTTTCGATGCTATTAGATGTTTTATTAAAATTAAAAGACATTTGCTTATCAAAACTAAGAATATTATGATAACATGCATAATGTATGTGACGTAGACTGATATAAAAATCATCCAATCTCGATGAGTCATTGACGCAGAAAAAATTGATCGAAATCGTTTCAAAATAAACTGAACGACCTGTAGTTTCAGACACAATTAAAATTGAATACTGTCTATAATAATCTTTTCCAAGGATTTATTTCTTACAAGGCATTTGCCAAATAAATGCGAGAAGATATGATGAATCATGAAACTGGAAAAATGTCTACGGTACTTTTTCTTCCGACTTGTGTCTTTGCAAGAATTTAAATGTTTTCAGTTGTGCAATAACATTACAATGGCATACAGTTTAAAAAAGATCGATGAATTATCATTTCACGGAAGCAATGAACAACATCCTAGGATATCAGAGTTGTGTGTCGTCTACTATACTATATATACGTACCTTAACACTAAATAATGTTTAAAGAAAACAGAATCGTGAAAAAAAATATCGCAAATGGCGTATTTACAACACAATCGATTTGGTTTTAAAGACAATTCAGTGGATGCTAACATTCCTGACAATGATGTAGCTCGCCTCATGTATTATTTTAATTGTGTATGCTCTGCTATTCAATACAATGATAGTGATGTTCGTCGATTTCGAAATTATCGAAATTGGGCATCTTTATCTTTCGAAGAAATTCGCGTTTTATTGGCTCTTTGTATTACTATAAGCCCGGATGTGCTTGATGGCAAAGTATTCTTTCACTCTGATGCTTTATGTGGTAATAGCCAAAACAAATTTTACGAAATCAGTCAAGTAAGCAATCAATTGTTGGCTGTGGAATCAATCGTTATTGCTGGTCGAAGATGTCGGGTTAGCCAAATTATGACATACAAGATGTCTTGGATGTACAATTATTATCTTAATCCAGTGCAGCGCCTTGCATCACGATTTAGCAGTCCTACATCACGCTCAGGAACGTGTATTATCTCATAAATCATTGAGCAACATGTATGAGACTAGAAGAAATCAAAGAAAGACGTCACACATTGTTTTAAATATACTTTGTAATTGTGACGTGGCAATTTATATTAAATCGAAATAAATATTTTTTCATAAGTTTTGTATTGGTAAATATTTTTCGAGATACTTTTTTATTCTCATTCTGTTCAAGTTGAACAGAAGTAGTGCACTGCTCATTCAAGAAGTTCACAATGGTTGCATTCGTTGATAGTACCAAAAACGTTTATGACTGATATGCCGTCTCTACAATCCGTTCTTGTTAATCTATGCAAAGACATTTCTCTGCCTGATGTCGTCTTTACAAGCGAAACTTGCATTGAATGTTTTATCAAAACAAAGAAACAGATCTTAAGTTTTATTTAAAATCGTGTAAGTGTTTATCTACGTATGTGCTGTCATTACATCGGTAAAATTTTCGTCGACTTTTCGATGAAACGCATCCAACAAGCTGTGCTTTAGATTCTTGGGAACAGAACTGGCTAATTCGACTCCTTGCCTATCTCGTTCTATCCATTTTGTTTCATAATAAATTGGATTAAGATGAAACGCACGAAGATAAAGTGGACCTACCCATGCTGTATAAAATCTATATTTGCCTTTTTTACCTAAGGCAACAAGATCCGCCCAATCACATTTGAAATTTGAATGATCGTCGATCATTCTTGAGGGAAGTTGCATGTTAGGCAATCGCCTGGCCTCGGATTCGTCCTATATTTCCTATATTTAAAAAAATTCCTATTTTTTCTCCTATATTTCGATGAATTTTCCTGTATTTCCTATCAAAAATGAAAAAAAGTAGAAAATTGCTAAAAAACGCTCTTGTTTTAGTATAATTTTCATGTTTTTTAAACAAATCTATTCGATAATTATTGATTGTTTTGTATTCTTAGAATTTTTTTACAGGGACTATTTTATTTACAATCTCTTTTCACATTATCAAACGGACAAAATGAAAATAACTGACTATTTTAAGTATAGATATTCAAACAAAGTAAAATAGTCTTTATACATAGCTGTATGTTTTTTAAAAGCTTTTATTGTTGCCTACCATATGCAGTTACGTAAATGGTTTTGTTCAAGCGTAACGCTGTGACCTTTTTTGGCACACTTTGTTTTTCATTATCTTGGAAATTGTGTGAGTTAGAAAGTTCGTTCAAACGTGATTTGATGCAACTTGTCATGATATGTTTATGCCATAAAATGACTATTTTTGGATTAAGTCTCTTGGTTATAGAGAGGAGCTTTGGTTGCTTGGCTGTGACATAAAAAGACTCTTTTCTTCAGGGCCACTAATAAGCTGCAGTTTCTTCTGCAACTATTTCTCCAAGTGAAACACTTCTCGAGTTAGCTTTGTAGTGCTTTTTGACCAGGTTTTAAAACACTAAAATCGTTTTCTCCAAGCTATTTTTGCTTAGATAAAAAATGCAAGAAAACAACGTGACATTTTTAGTAACACTGAGGTAAAGTTTTTCTTCATCAATTTTGAAGCATTTAACATGATCAGAGTTATTTGATTTTTATTAGTAATAGTCTTTTTTTTGTAACTAATCGTTATACACAAAAACGAAATTGATACATCTGTATGGAAGCTCATAAACGGTAAATTGAGTTAGAAAGTGTATAAGAGTTTACATTGTCCTTAGCTACGAAAGTCAAAACAAAATAGCCCAGCTTGTTGAGACTAAAATTCTATAACTAACGATCTGTCATTGATATTTTTTGAAAACATTTCTTGGTTAAAAAACTCAAAATGCGATTTTTGAAAATTTTCCTACTCGGTGTGAGTGTAGGTTGATGTGAGATAAACACCATACAAACCATTGGCTACACCCTGATTTATTTTGTATTAGTGTATTAATATGTAAATAAACATATTTCGATTGAATTTAATTGAGTCTGGCTCATTTAATTTAATTTAAGAAAGAATTAAAATGAAATATTGGCAAAAATTTCGTGCATATGTTAAGTTGATGCAGGAAAAGTTTAAAACAACGTTTAATTCGAATCTAAACAACGAATTTTCGATATCCTATTTTTTTCTGATTTTTTACACATTTTCCTGTATTTTTAAAAAGTTTGATCCTGTGCTAATGCCTACATTTTCAAAAACTTGCAATCCGAGGCCAGGCAATCGCTTGTTATAAATCATTTCTTTCATGAATTTATCTGCTGTAGAAAACGAACGCTTCATAAACTCAGGATCACGTAATCGATTAATTGATTGACGAAGAGACGTGGCGATACTTGAAAGTGATGTCGGATCTTTGAAAGGATCCGATAACATGGATATTGTTGAACTAGCAGCATGTCCAATCGGTGCTATGTTATCTGAGAGGGTGTGGCTTTGGCTTTGGCTTAATATGATTTCTTAATTCCAATTTTTCAAGCGAATATGTATATTCTATCGTGAAGCAATCAATCGATCTACGTCAAGTCGAATGAGCGAAAAGCATGTATCAGATGAAGGAAACAATGCCACATAATTCTGCGAACTTTTTCTGTATATTTTGCTTTGCTTAGCTTTCTTCTCGTAAAATCATAAACTGTCGATCCCTTTAGTCTTGTGGAGACAAGTGACAATGCTCATTTTAGTCGACGCTTTCAGCGTATGTCAAATCGATAGATGGCGCTGTTTTACAATCAAAAATGAATTAAACTCATAGATCAAAATAATCGGTCGACAGTGATTTTTTTAAAAATTTTTGGCCCATAATTGCGTTTAACTATTATTTTCCTGTGACGTTTCCCCCGAATATCTTCCTGATTGGTTACATTTGAATCGATGGCCGATCTTTCCTTACATCACCACCATCAATGTCTTCCATGTATTGAAACTTGCGACAAATATTTATTTGATTCAAATGAAAACCTAATGGTTTTAGTTATTTAATTCAAATTTCAAGTAAATCATGGCTGGTCGATTGACTCGAGGGTAAATAATAGCGTTTCATTCATTGCATCATACATTTCATCATACGATTTCCGTAGGTTTTTTCATCGTGATTTATCTGGCATTGAAGCTGAAAAACTGCTTCAAGAAAAAAGTGTCCCCGGTAGTTTTCTTGTACGCCCATCGACAACGAAATCAGATGCTTATGTACTCTCAGTTCGGTACGTTTAAAAAAAGTAAACTAACATAAAATCATTTTCATTTACTTTCTTATTTATAAAGACGAGCAAATGGTGAAATAACACATATACGTATCCAACGAACAAATGATGGTTTTGATTTAGGCGAGAGACAAGAATGTTTTTCAACATTATACGATATGATTGAACACTATCGTCAAAATGTTGGAGAACTTCGAGAAAAAAACAATGATATCATCGAATTAACTGTACCGATTCTAGCGCAAATGCCTACCCTTGAAAAGTAATGAAAAATAAAAAACGAATTTCTTTTATCCAATATTGATTTTCATAGATATTATCACGGACCAATTTCTCATTGTCAAACTGAATCAATTTTAAATGCATGTGATCAAGTTGGCCTTTTTCTTGTTCGCGATTCTGAAACCATTCCAGGTGATTATGTTATTTGTGTTAAAACACAAAATGATATAGCTAATATAAAAATCAAGTGCCTAAATGGTGAATGGTTTCTTGATGGGAAAGGTCGGCGCGAACAAATCGATCGTTTTAAATCCTTGGATGAGCTAATACATTTCTATTTAAAACATAATATACTCGTTGCTACAAATGGTACAGCATTTCGTCTTGTCGAATCTTGCACAGCGAATTGGTTTCATGCACGTGACATTCATCAACGATGTGAACATCTATCAAAACTAGTCGCAACACAACATGGACATCGTACTGGTTTTAGTTTAGAATTTGAATTATTAAATCAACAATCCGAAGGTAAATCATTAATGTATCATAAACGACATGGCGAAAAAGAAGAAAATCGAACAAGAAATCGTTTTAAAAATATTTTACCCTATGATGAAACACGAGTCATCTTGAAAAATTATTTAATCACTGATTATATTAATGCAAATCATATTCGTCCACCGATTGAAAATATTGGAAGAGGATATATTGCTGCACAAGGACCATTAATAGGAACAATTAATGATTTTTGGTATATGGTACAACAAGACATGGTTAAATCTATTGTTATGATTACGAGAGAAACAGAAGGCATGAAGGTATTACATCTTGCCTTTGGGAATTACTTTAGTCAGTTCCACACTTAGCATTTCTAGAGAATGGCTCATAGGAAAAATCTTTTAGACTCATTTTTTTCCCATTACTTATTGAATAGTATAAAACAACTGAGCACAAATTTGAGTTTGTAAGTTTCCGTTGTTGTTGAGTTCGGTGTTTTATTGGAAATCAGAAAACACAGGAACAAAACAATGGCAACAGAAACAAACTATATCAGAAGATGAGGAAAACAAAATACGCAATAGAACGATATATACATATACCTTTTATATGTATATTTCTAGGTCAAAATATGTTTGTTTGACTTTGTGTGAGAACAGAAACAAAGGATGAACACGATAGATACGCAAGATGAAAAAGAACATATATATATATATCATGAGCAGAGTTAACAACAATCTTCGTAACACTAAAAGAGTATCGATTATATCTATTTGACGGGAGAAAATTTATTTCAATAACTTGTTTATCCAACAGAATAATAGAACCGACCAGAAAAAATATTTTATTTCATAGAGCAAATGTGCACGATATTGGCCTGAATTGCATACAACAAAAACGTATGGTTCAATAGTTGTTGAAAATCTAAATGAATCAAACTACGGTCCACCTCAGACGCCTAGTAATGCTTCACGTGCACTCCGTTCACTTCCATCGGCTGGCTATCAACCAACGCAGCAACCATCAAATGATGATGATTGTTATTATCGCCTGCGTACATTAAAAATAACCACAGAAGATGGCCGATCATGGGAAATACTTCATTGGCAATATTTAGCATGGAGCGATCATAGTAAGAATGCTATCTATGATAGTTCGAAGGATATATTCTTTCTTTGAGGATTTATATGTTGAAGTTTGCGACGTGAGAAATTAATATTAGCACAGTTTCAAATTCTATTTTTTTTCTATTCGCAGTAAAAAAAATTGGTCTATTTAAATTATCAAAACTCCAATTAGATTGTCTACTCTCGAAATGTTACCTTCATATATTGACTCTATCTTATTGATTTACAGGTTCGCCATTAGTATCAAATCAACGTGATAATGTTCAATTGAGTGTACTTCTTGAATTTTTCGAAAAAATCGGTTGTACAAGTCCAGTTGGAGCCGATCTGAATACATCGCCAATGATTGTTCATTGTAGCGCTGGTATTGGCCGATCAGGTGCAACAATTGCAATCGACATGATACTTAATCGAATACGTACAGAAGGATTTGATACTGAAATTGAAATACCTGGTTTAATAACACATATTCGTTCGCAACGATCAGGTAAATATTCATATTGCATTATTATTTTTCTTATCGTAAATTTTGTTTTCTAATATCAAAGGTCTTGTGCAAACTGAACGACAATATGAATTTATTTATCGAGTTATTGAATATTTCGTTGAACAGCATATGAAACAATCTCAAACTTCACCAGAATATATGAACATGCGATAGGCATTTACTTAATTTACACGGGAAAGCTCTTGTGGTCAGATTGGTTAGTATGTTGTAGGCAAATTGAAAGATTGTACAGTGATCTAAATGCCTGTGTATTTACAGTGTTCTTATTTGTGCAATTTTCTCGTTGGCCGTTCAAGTTCATACTACATAACTCTTTTTGCATTTGACTGGTGCTGCTTATTTTCTTTTTTAATTATATTTAATATAAATACATACATACATATATATATATATATATAAATATGCATACCTAAGTATAGCAATTGTTTTGTGTATTTTTATCATTAATTTCAGATGCCTACTATTGGTGTTAAACGAAGTTTACTTTTTAAAGAACTTGGCCAAACATACAGTAAATTGCAGAGATAAAATCGAATATATTTGATTGATTTTTGTTTTCAGCTGACAAAGAATTTGACCAATTATGTTTTGATTATGGATTGGAATTAGATGATATTGTGAGTAAAATACAGTTTTTCTGAGATGTCTATAGAAACAGTCTGATAGCGTTAATCAAAAGATAAAATTCTGGCTTATTTAGGAACCTATCCCGGAGAGCAATGGTGAAGATGTGGAATATAAAATTGAAATTCCAGCTAATCGGTTCGTTTTGTTTTTTTATCTAACATTTTTTTCCTTTTACAATGTATTGTTTAACTTTAGCTATGATATACTTTGCTTGGAAGGCTTGAGTCGGGCATTACAGATCTTCTTAAAAAAGTAAACTACATCTTTTAAGTTTTTATTATTATTCATACATTGAATCATTTTAGAGCTGAAATACCAAAATTTACTTTATCCAATCAAAAGTTTATTCGAATGAAAATTCTACCGAATGTATGTTTATTTATTTTTATGGATTTGTTTCGTATGCTAACTTGTTCTATTAGACTCAACGTATTCGTCCGATTGTTGTTGGCGCAGTTCTTCGTAACATAACATTTGACGCCGATAGTTATAATAGTTTTATAAAATTACAAGATAAACTTCATCAAAATTTGTGTCGCAATCGAACATTAGTCGCTATAGGCACTCACGATCTTGATACCATTCAACAACCATTCGTATACGATGCTCGAGAGCCTCAACAAATTAAATTTCGTTCATTAAATCAAAAGATTGAAATGCGCGCCGATGAAATGATGGAATTTTATCTTGTATAAAATTTTTATTCACAAAAAAAAAATTTGAACACATTAATTTTTTTTAGAAAGATACACATCTCAAACGATATGTTTCCATTATTCAAGATTCTGATGTCTATCCAGTTATTTATGATTCTAATAATGTTGTTTTGTCACTTCCACCTTTAATTAATGGTAAATTAAACTATTCAATAGTCGCGTAATGCATATTTCTCTCTGTTTAGGTGATCATAGTAAAATGAGTGTTAAAACAAAGAATATTTTTATTGAATGTACGGCAGTTGATGCACATAAGGCAAATGTTGTACTTAATACCATGTTAACAATGTTCGCTCAATATTGCAGTAAACCATTTGAGTAAGAGTATGGGTCGTACGTTTTATGTAATAGCTGTTTGCTTTTTTAAATAATAGAATTGAACCAGTTGAAGTTGAACAAGTCGATGGAAAAGTTATTGTTTATCCGGTAAGAGAATTTTTTGTCTTTGCTTTTTTATTTATCCTATAAATTGATTTATAGGATTTAAGTGATCGATCTCAAGATGTATCAGTGCAAAAGATCAATCAACGTATCGGCATTAAGTATGTAGGAAAAATGTTAAGAGGCATTATTTGAAAATATTTACTATGTTGTAGTGTCAATGCGGACAAGGCTGCAGAACTTTTAAATCGCATGTGTCTTCGAGCGAACGTCATTGACTCGGATACACTTCGAGTCGACATACCAGTAACTCGAGCGGACATTCTTCATTTCTGCGATATAGCAGAAGATTGTGCAGTAGCCTATGGCTTTAATAATATTATTAAAACAGTACCGAAAACAAGTTGCATTGGAAATCAAGTAAGTAGAGAAAAGGTTCAGAAAGATTTTGATTCGATATTCATTTTTTTCCTCATCATAGTTTGAACTTAATCGAGTATCTGATCTTCTTCGTCATGCCGTTGCAGAAGCTGGTTTTATGGAAGCATTAACATTTACTTTATGCTCGTGTCCAGATGTAGCGGAAAAATTTGGAAAAAAGATTGAAAATATTCCCGCAGTACATATTGCAAATCCAAAAACGCTGGAGTTTCAGGTAAGATCGAGTTTCAAATGTTCTATAGAATGAAAACAACAGGCCGCTCAAATTGATTATAAAGACAATGGAATGTTAACCATCGTCCTGTTTTAACCGTAGTCGATCTTTAATCGCTATTTCGAAGTTTCCAATAAACGTTTAATTTAGATTGGTCGAACATCACTTTTACCAGGCTTATTAAAAACAATCGCAAACAATCAAGGTACTGCATTACCTATTCAACTCTTCGAAGTATCCGATGTTATTCTCAAAGATGCAAGTCAAGGTTTGTTTGTTTGCTCGATTTCTTCAGCAAGAGAAATTCCTATATGTTTTTGTTAGAAATTGGTTGTCGAAACGAGCGACATTTATGTGCCGTCTTTTATAATAAAACACCAGGCTTCGAAACCATTCATGGTTTACTCGATCGGGTCATGACATCACTTAAAGTAACATATAATGAAAATCGAACTAATGATAAAGGCTATTATTTAAACAATGAATGCGAAGGTAAATTTATTTTTCTAGGCGTCATTTTCTTTTACTGAAATAAATGTTTGCTATTTTTTTTGCAGATTCGGCATTTTTTCCAGGACGTCATGCGCAAGTCATGGTTTGTGGTGCAAATATTGGTGTTGTTGGCGTTCTTCATCCTAACGTTATTGAAAATTTCGGTTTAAGATTACCATGTTCTATACTTGAAATAAACATTGAGTCATTTGTTTGAAAAACATATTTATGCTGACTGGTAACTTAGGTGTTGTTCAAATAAAATAAACATGCTGAAAACAAGAAGACAAAAAGTCGAATTGTATTCTTCAATCAGTTCATGATAAATAAATAACAAGGGTGATTTCTGTGGGAAATAGAATTTTCAGTATCGTAGAAGGAGTAAACTTTATTTTGTGTCGACTCTAAATTACTAAATGAAGGCAAAAGGAGAAAAAACTGATTACTTAAGTAAATGAAAATATCGAACGCGCCTATCTAATGCCAAATCCTTATCATTACTTCGAATCAGGTGAAATATCTCCTGAAAGATTATTACTAGAAATTGAACTATTAAAAGAACTGAAAAAAGTTGATCTGCTCTATAATCTCGATTGGACGCCGTATGATACACATGCTTTAAAATGTTTTCTCGAAGCTGGAATAGAAGAAGTCAATGAAGAACTGACTCAACGTTTTCGAGCGAAGACAAACGATTTTAAACAATACGATTTTATTTGTCAATCTATTCAAAAACATCAAATATCTCCAATGGGAGAAAATTTCAAAAAACAACAAATTTCTTTCACTGTCATTCTTAATACAATATTTATTTTCATCTGTATTTTCTTTGTTATTGGACTGTTTACTTATGAATATATTAAAATCGATCAGCAGCATCATTTATTAAAATCACTGGATCATCCGCTAACAGCGAAACAGCGCCGTCTGTCTTTCGCCAATGATTTATCAATTATTTTTCTAGCATTTGCTAGTGGAATTTGCTTAGGATGTATAATAATTGCAACGAGATTTAGACGAAAAATAATTATATTGGGAATAGTCACACTATGCATCATATTGATATTAGTTACAAGAAAAATTCATCAAATAATTACATTTCTATCAACATATCGAGAAATTCGATGGCCAATGCTTTATGATTATATGTTCTCATAGTAATATAGTAGTTCTTTTTGTTGTGTGTAGATTTTTCAAGTGTCTCAGAAATTGAAAACACAATAATAATATTAAAAGAAAAAAAAATGTTTTACTATCGTAGTTTGAAAACTGTTTCATTTCAATTCTTTTCAAACGCAGACACAAAGTGATGGAGAACAAAGTGATTGAGAAAACATCGAAGCCAAGCAATCGACATCCTCCTCGTCGAATAGAATATTGGGCTGGTAAAAAACTTACAAAAGCTTCATCGGATCTTTTTCTCGATCGACCTCGACCAGCGAATACTGTTTTTTCAGGTATACGAATTAGCCATTAAATTTATCCTTTGATTCGTTTTCGTTAAATATTCAAAGGTCCTAATGCTGTATTTATTCAACGGTACCCTATTCGAGATACTATTGGAGAGTTGAACGACGGAGAAGCATCAGTACTTCGTTCACTTGATCTTGGTTATTTGACAAGGTATTCGTTTGAAAAATGAATTTTTCTCAGAAAGCGATTTTCCTTTCTTGCCTATTCAAATTTAGAGGATATGCAATAGATCCACCACTGCGTCGAACGGCATTTCCAGGTGAAATTGGCTGGACAGCAATATACTATCGTCGATATTTAAAACCTTATAAATAAATAGAATGAAACTCGGCAAATTTTATGTTAGTTTTGTTTTTATAAATAAAAGTCTTTCTCTGGACGGCAGCGCCATCTTTAATATGTAAACACACTATAGGAAAATTACCGAATAAATAAACATTCGATCAGTTGTTGTTAATCGGTTGCGTATTATGTGAACATAGAAAAGTAGCTTTTGCACTATTCTTTTAAAAGATGAGCAATCGGGACCGAAGCCGAGATGTATCATCTGAAGATCTCAATAAGCAAGCGTCAGCTGAATCTAGTTCAGCATCGTCTTCGAATAAACGTCAATCAACATTTAATAAAACAGCTGATGTCGATGATCCACCGTTTAGTCGACTTTTTTTACTTATACCAAAAGCTATGTCGGAAGATGAATTACGTAAAGCGTTTCTAGTTCATGGAAAAATCCAAGATATTCACATGGTACGAGATCGCCGTAGTCAAGAAAGCAAAGGTTCACATAGAATAACATATGATCAATCAAATATTTTATTACTTTTATTTTTGAAATAAATAGGAATCGCGTATATTAAATATGAAAAAGCGTCAGCAGCAGCTCGTGCTATGGAAGAAATGAATGGAGTCGTTATTCCACCACATACACGTCCGGTGAAAGTAAATATTTTTTGGTTTTTTAGAGTTTACTGTAAACACATTTCATTTAGGCTATTATATCAAGCTCACGTCGTGAAGGCAGTGTGCGGGATCCAGATGAACACGAAAAAATGTTACGTTTATTCGTTGTTATATCAAAGCATATGACTAAAGATGATTTACGAAAAGTATTTGAGGTAACGACGAACTATTAATGAAATAAATATAATTTTTTGCTTTCGTTATTCAGAAATATGGTTCAACTATTCATATTAAAATTATAGTAGACAAATTAACTGGTGACAATAAAGGATTCGCTTATATTTCATTTTCAAAAGCATCAGAAGCTGCTTATGCTTTAGAAGAATGCGATCCATGTAAGTATTTTTCTTGTGAATCTTTCAAAACCATTACGATGAACTCTCGTAGTCGTTTACTAGTATTTTCTTAATCATATTTGTTTCATAGGTTACAAACCAAAATTTGCCGAACCATTTTCCTCAAAGCGTCATCGTGATACTGAAGAAATTTTGTCTTCGTCAGCATCTTTATATGGAGCGCTTTCACCTCCATATTCTCATAAAATACAGCTTGGTAAACAGCATCAATCGCCATCATCCAATGACCATCGACCATCTCCACCACCTTTACTTCCACTTCCATCACGGTCATTATCGCATATCGAAACAAGTAGGATTTTATTTAATAAAAAAAAATTTCTTTTTTTGAATTTATCTATTCAGATCAACCAGTAACCTCATCAGCTTATCATTTACTTGACAATAATAATGAGCGTCGTTTAATTGTTCGTTGTGGTACAACAATAACAAATTATCATATATCAAAATTATTTGATCTCGTACCAAACATGGAAGAATGTTCAGGACTTAATTTAAATACATTCAACGAGCGTAAGAGAAAATTCAAAAATAAATTCTTTCAAGTAAAAAATTTCTTAAAATCTTAGATTATTTTATTGTACGCTATAAATCGTGTCAATTTGCAACATATGCACGTGAAAAACTGCACGCATTTCAATTTCCTGATGGTGAAATATTATCCGTTCAATACTATGATGAACAGTAAAAGAGAAAAACAAAATCGATTTATTTTATCTATTAAAATTTTGTTTATTTCATATAGAGTTGTTAACGATTTGATCAATCAATCGCAAAATGGCAAATATGGAGATACATCAGGCATTGGACAATTAATACATCAAGTATATATAGAAATATTTTTATTCAATTAAATAAATTATTTATTTTTTCAGATGAGTAATTTACAAGGAAGTCAAGAACAATACGTCGACTACTGTAATATTCCATTGCCACCGAAACAAAAATATGCTTCATTTGATGCGCCTGTAAGTCATTTTGGTCGCTATTGGTACTACATACCTGAGAAATAATTTAATTCTGACAAATATTCCTTCGAATAGATCATAGGAATCCGATAGCGATTCATTCTTCCTCTTGGCCCTTTGCCTATAGGTACAGCTTGGAATTTAGGACGTTTCCCAATCATCGTAGCTGTAAGCGTTCGATATGACAAAGTAATGGTTCCGAAGGCGAGTTTTCTCTTTCAATATAGACTGTTCCTATGAGTGTAGGCCGATACACAGACACTTGTCACACCGAATGAATCCAATAATTGCCTCTCATTACATTGAATATTTAGGTTGCCAAAACTTTACAAGTAATGCCTCAACGTCCGATATCGGAAGATTATATTCGCGATGTATTTAATCGTTTTGGAAATTTAATTGACGTCCGAATGATTAATTCTCAGCTGTGTCATGTTATGTTCAGTGATGAAACCAGTGCCGATACCGCCATGGAGACAATGAATGGCCAAGAAATAGCATTCGTTCGTATACGCATTGTTGAAAGTGATAAATCTGTTGATTCAACTACCGCTTCTGTTGTACACCGAAAACGACAAAAAGTGTGAGTGAAAATATAAAATATTTATTGACAAAAAGACACAAACATCTTCTCTTGACTTTTCGACTGGACTTACACAGACATTGACTTGTTTATTTTTCTCGTTTTTGTTTTTCATTATGCATGCACATAGACAGAGCTTTCTTGTTTCTTTTATTTATTAATCCTCTTTAAACTAACTAACTAACTATCTATCTATCTATCTATCTATACATATATATATTCATGTTTCGTCTGCGTAGTTCTTTGTTCTACTGTATTCGATTGTTTTGGTTTTCATCATTGTCGTCGTGCATTTGGCTTTGTTTTTTTTCTAGATCGACGAAACGCTTTTTTTTCTGTATTTAGCAAAGAATCGGCCGAAATATAATAAATAAAAAACACGACTTTTTAGACAAATATGACTTTACGACTGAGAAGATGTTTTGACAACGAACAGACAAATATTCATATCATTCTTTTTTTAAAGGTTCAAATAATGAAATTAATATTATATGAATCAACAAGTAAATGTTTCGTTCTTATCGATTGGACGTTAGATTTTGGGGAAATATATGGAACGGTAACCTCGATAAAACCTTGTAAACAGGTTTTCGTTGAGAAATTTAAAAAATCAAGTCGATAAATTCGAAGTACGTGTTTACATATAAAGTTCTTCAACTCCATCTTGAAGTCCTGTGAATTCAATACTGAATCGACTAACCTCCTTCTATTTTAAGCGCAGATAGAACTTATGAAATGCTCCAGTTAAACTACAATCCAAACAGGATCTCGATTGTAAGTCATTGAGCTCTGCGAAAAATTTTCGCTTTTACAGCATTGCAACGCGCTTTCCTAAATTTCTATTTGCTTGAGAAGCGGAGGAAAGGCGTCTCGATGAAGCTCTCTTCTATTCACAATATCTGGATATTAGTTTAATCCGTGAAGTTTTTCTTTCCGAAAAATCTTTCAAATATTTTATTCTGGATTTAAACAAAACTTTCAGGAATTCAAATTACAAGAAAATAGTTTCTTCTTAATAATTTCACATTCACATATCTTCCTCATGAATGCAATCTCAACGTGCATTATTAGAGTTTTCCATCCAAAAATTCATATTTTACGCCATTCCGAAGGTTTCTATTAGGTTACTTTAGAATATATTATTCTTAGTTTAATATTTTTTTTCTTTAGAAATAACCAGAAGGAAATCCATTCCAGTTAGTGAATCTAGCATAAATGCAGTCATGCTTGAACTACGCAAATCTGACATTTTTTATGAAAATTTACAACAGCTAATTTAAATCGTTTAATTGTTCAAATAAAACTATTTTTTTGTAATATTTATTCTTTATGCTCAATTTAATTCTCTCGACACGAAAAAATTCATCTTTTTATTTTGAATATGAGAGAGCATAGTTTTGCTTTGCTCAGAACAAATGAAATGCATATTCACATGTAGCGTGCTAGATTAAATTTTAGCATCGATTTATATGTCAAAGTGACGTTCAGAGGCATTCATCACTCGTCTAGAAAGGATCTTCTTAATGCCACAAGAAACACATCAGTCTGATTAAAATATTGACTACTATTACATTAGTCGATTGATGGTCTGTATTATTACGTAAAAAGGTGAAAGAACGCAGAACGAGTTCAAAAAGACATCGTCACCTTAGAAAAAAAATACAGTAGCCAATGAATCCGTTAAGTATTAAAACAGTATTGCTCAAATCGTGATACGGACAACTAGAGATTATATTAAAGTTTATTGTTCTTCATCTTGACATCTCATCTCTTTCTAGTGATTTTGTTTTGTTATTATAATAGTTCATTTTTACGTCGCATCGTACCAATGTTATGAGTGAATGCACATCGATTCTAATCTTTCGCTTATGATAAATTTGCCAAATATAATAATAGAAAGAAGCAAATCCTCCAGCGATGCATCGTTGGTAATAATAAGAAAGCTCTAACAAGTGAATAAAACGATCGTTAAAATGAAACGAGAGATTTTCCTTAGTACAAATTAGAGATGGTTCCATTGTGATCATTCATTTACACGTCTATTAAACGACATGTCCGATTCGTTTTTAAGAAAACCAAATCTATTTAACCATCAAATTCAGTATATAGACCAATCAATCAGATTAAACACCAGGTTTGCCTTAAATTTATTTCCCGCAGATATCGACGTTGAAAAATGAATTAGTTTTGATTTTCATGGCTGAGATTTCGTTTAAAGTCCATACATTTTAATGTCACGCATTGTAATTGTCATCAACATAGTATTCGATATCAAAAGTAGAAGATAAAATACCAGGGTTTTTTTTAATTCAAAGATTGATCTGTTCTTACAGATTTCTATAGTTATAGATTATATTATTTAATCGTCTTTAGATAATAATAGTTCAACTTTTACACGTGAAGGGTGGAATCTTCTTTGAAAACTCGATACACAACATAGCAGGAAGATCCATAAAAATATAGAATATGCAACGTGTTCATTCGCAATAAATAATTGACATTCTATGAATTATTTAACACATTGTTTAAGGAATGGCTAGCATCAAAGTTCAAGAAACTAACAACTCGTTACTTTGAGCTTCCATTTGTATAATTAGAGCGGGACAGAATGAACTGCAGTCTTCAGCAAATTTTTACCTAGCGAAGTATTTTGTGTTATAAATAGAGTTTAGAGGAAATGAAAAAAACTTGATGAGTAATACTTCTTTCAGCTATGGGACTATGCCAGTAGCCATATGCTCATATTATAGGGTAAAAAACCTCATTATACAATAGAATTTCTTTGTTAATTGTGTTTCTGGCAGAATAATTTAAAAAAATGTCAAAGAAATGCTTCTCAAGATAGATGGAATAAAATAAGCTCCTTATAATAAGCAAAAGAGGATTTGCTCCTGTGTACTTTTTTTGCGCTTATATATCTTATCTAAGAAAAAAGAACTTTGATAAAAAAATAATGGTGTGCATTCAAGAGGATAGGAGAGGGAAAAGCCAATAATTTTCCTAGAATTGGAAAATTTACAGTTACAGTTTTATATATAGCTTCCATTGATAGACCAAATGCTGATGTTATTCAAGGAACCCCATGAATCATGAATGATAGCTCAATCGTAAGTCATAGAATTCTGCGTGTATGCTAAATGACAAGAAAAAGATATTCCATAATTAGAGAGAGAGGGTTTGATAACAGCACTGTCATACTCACTCATTGAGAAAATTTTTTATAAAATAAAAGAATAATCCAAAAAACGTACCGCTGCATTATATTTGATTGAAGACCTTTGAATATAAGTGGTGCTGTGCTATTTAATAAATGCATTATTATTATTCTATGATACGGCGCCACTGGCGAAGAATCGATTTTTCACATGTCTATTCGCGTGGTTAAATGAAAATACATGTCCCATGTTTATTTCTATGAAGATTCTGTACCAAACACGAATCACATGCGCATGTTCTTTATATTTAATTAATAAAAATAATTAGAGTAAATATTGCCGAAGATCAGAAGTTTTAGAATTACAGTATCATTAGTAGAACAAAACAAAATCGACTCGGCACTTTTTGAGCACGAGGATGAATCGAGGCATTTTACGGATCGACGTACAAAACATTGCATTACGTACGTTTATAATGAAAATATGTCTTACGGAATGTTTTTTGTTCTATTCGAAGAACCAGCTAGTGACGTTAAAAGAATTTCCTTTTGCAGGTACATACAATAGTATGCGTCGAATACATTGAAAAACTCAGCAATGGTTACAAAACGAAATTCGGATTTGCCATTAATATGCCTGGCGTGTGGTGATACTGCACACGGAATTAATTTTGATGTTATGACATGTATGTCTTGTAAAATATTCTTTCAACGGCATGCACTAAAATCAGAGATGAGTACGAAATTCCTAACAGAAAAAGACATTTAGATTCTGCTTTATATCAATTACAAAAGATTCGCACTTGCTGTCAACGTAGCGATCGTTGCATAATAACAAAGCTTACAAGACGTTGTTGCTAATCCTGTCGGTTAAGTAAATGCTTTAAACTCGGCATGAATCCACAATTGATACGTCGTTGATGCAACAATCCTATTGAATCACACAATATGATTCACTAATGAACGTGATCAATAAGACTCAAAGTCAATTACGAAACGTACGTTGGCATCTGGAATAGTTCTATTTTAATTAGTTTTCTTTCTTAATGGCCTTTGCAACTTAGCCTTCTTAACAATGATCGCTCGTCTCTTTCAGCGCATGAATAGAATCTTCTTTCGAATATCATTCATGCTTGTGATGCAGCAAATGGAATTTCTCAACATTTCAACCATTCGTCGAACGATTGCCTGATTTTCAGGATTTATCAGCTGAGGCACGTCAGTTAATCATAGAAAATAATATGGAAACCGCTGGTACTCTAAATGGTATTTATCTCATGCGCGAAATAAATGCATTAAATAATATTACATTTACAATTGGTTGTACTGAAATTATCACGTTGTCTAAATCTTTAACTATACGATTAGATCCAAATGGCGTATTTGTCGAAGTGATGATTTTAATTTTGGCCTTTTCAACTAGTTGTTCTCTTATTACTTTTCATAATGCAAGAAATGTCATGAATTTACAGATTGCATTGTCAATATTAAATGTACTTGCGACGATTCATACCAGACTATCAGAATGCTGTATTCGTAGAGTAATATACGGTAGTTATTTATGCTGGCACATTATATTTATCTTATTTGGCGATTCTATGTCTGGATATATTTGTATTGATCTGCCGTATAAATTGTAATTCTAGAAGATAATAACTACATCGAAGGCTTTTGTTTTTGCTTTAAAATAAAATTTTCGTGTAAAAAATGGAATCGTGTGAGTATTTCAATGAAAGACAAATAACTAATAAAGAAAGTATTGCTCGATTCCGAACATCAGTGAAGTATTTTACAAATTCTCAACTATTTTCATACATATTTAATCAATGTAGTGATTGTTTTCGGTAATGATCGTTGGATCAGAAAAAGAAGGCGCTTGCCTTCAGGACTCTTGATATAGAATAAAGCGAAATAAAATATTTTTGATAAATTCAAAGTGTTCTGTTATTGTTGTTGATAAACAACAAGTCGATTATCCATGATTGGCGGAATGGTACAATGTTCATCTTATCGCTGCAGCACTAAATAAAATCACATTGACTGATTTATCTCATCGAAAAATTCTTATGCCACTGATAGAATAATTCAGTGTTGTCACCTCTTTATTATTCCTAGTTTTCACTGATGAAAAAAGGTCGGAAATCTATATCATTTTTGGTTTTGTACTTGTCTTTATTTATGTATATCGTTCTATCATATCTTCTTGAAATGGGTGTGAATCTCGATAGAAATATCAGTGATTAGATAGGCTCATGTTCTGCTTTGGAACCAAATTCGGAATGCATCAAGTAAAAACTCAGAAATTTTTTTAACTTTAAAAATACACTTTTTGCTCCTCAAGCGCCAACGGTGCGACTCATCTAATATTGTTTTGCCGTGTAAAGCCTCGCAGCAAACAGGAAAGTAACAAGAAAGAGGAATAATACGGGAAAACAACACATCCTTCACGGCAGTCGGATTAATGAGTAAACTATCTACTTGATGAACTTGTTATTATTCATTCATTCAAGTAGATACACAAGAGTTCTCAAACATCAACGGATCAGAGTTGATCGTAAGCGTACAGCTGATGTCTAATTATATTTCACTTCCAACATTATTTGATTAATGACTACTAACGAGAATACAATTAAAAAGTGCCCCGCGCATCCTAATTGTATAATATATATGGTACAAATGCAGAGGCTTTAAACAGTCGAATGAATACTTCCGAAAGAATCAAACTATGATCAAATAAAGCATCGCTACTTGCATTCGATATAACATTTGTCGAGTAGTGATCGAAAATAAAATAAAGACTCTCAATAGAGTAAAAGCTCATTTTGCGCACATCTAGTCAAAGAAAATCCATCAAGAATAATCTCACCCATTGAAATTGCAGATCTTTATTTTTAATTGAAAACGCCGCTGGCCTCCGATTGCACTTGTTTAAAAATACAGGAATCCTTAGAGGATCAAGGTTGTCAAAAATATAGGATTTTCGATAAAAAATGACAAAAATATAGGATGTTTTATACATAGTTTCTGTTGAATTGTTTTGCTGTTTTTTAACTGTCCTGCTCGAAAATCGTTTTAATGAAGCTGTTATAAACAGTTCGACTGTAGTCAAGATCCTTATGTAATTTTTTCTGCGGAAATAAGTCGCTAATTCGAGGATCATTATCATTATAAAAGTTTTTCACAAATCGATAAATAACAGTAAAGTAGATCATAAGCTTTGAAAAAACAAATACATGAAAAAGACAAATACTATTCTCATAAATTAAAGGAGAGGTTTCAGATTACGGACATGACTTCCCAAAAAATTTCAACCTAATTTTATTGTCCTGATAATCAGCATTTATTGCTTATTATTTTCCACAAGTTTATTTTGTATTTTATCATAAATCAATTTTTTCTGGTAATAAATAAGTGTAAATGAAAATGCATATACACAGGATGGTGTAAAATTTCACGAGCTTTCAGAAGATGTCGTTCCTTTTAAAAAAAGATGTTCTTTTGGTAACAGTATCTTCAAAATACAGAGCGAAACTTATTTTTTCCAGGGGTATATATATATACAGCTTTTATATCTAACTAAAACCTCACTAAAAACCCGAAACTAGTACATGATCATTTTGTGAATGTTTTTTTCTTTGAACTATTTTGTATTTTGTACTTAGTATTAAACAATTTCTCAATCAGTCCACTAAATAGGCGAAAGGAAAAATACTATTAAAATAAATGTCACTATAATACACGAATTTGTCCAAAACACATGATTATACACATTAAAAGCTTTTTTTTTGTCTAAAGGCAATAGCAAAATTGAGAGGTTTTTGGAAATTTTCTACTTTCTTCCATAAAATATAGGAAAAATAGGAATTTTCATTAAAATATAGGACAAAAATAGGACGTTTTTTGAGAATAGAGGAAATAGAGGAAATATAGGTCGAATCGCCGCCCAGGAAAACGCTTCTGGAAAGAAATATCTTTAGAAGTCCATAGAAAATTCCCTCGTCTTTCTAACCGAATAAAAGTTGAAGCCTACTAAAACGAGCATCATTCTAGGTCAAATGCAGCCTATACACACATAATCTGCTTCAGATACGACTTGCAGCGCGTGTACACACACATTTTATCATTGCACATAACTTGACAAGCACGATTAGGATGCATAGAGTAAAAATACAAAAATCGTTATTCTTTCCGGTGCATATGTCTGCTCGTTAAGGAAAAATGTTGATTAGTCAAGACAAAAAATGAAGTAATGGCATTCGTTCGAATGGATAACTACAAAAATCTGCTTCTACTCCAATGAATCGAACTTGCCACAGAGTGCAGCGTCTGATGCGAGCGTAAAATCTGATCAATTTTGGAATTACTTTTTACCTATCGGTGGCGTTCTTATAACAGCATTCGCTATGGTTGTGATCTTTTTTCAAGAATATAATGTCCAGCATGAGAGAATTATCGTCACTTTGGTTAGCGAAATCTGTGAAAATGTACTAGTGTTGATAATTACCATAACTACTTTTTGGTCATTATGCAAAATTCGAAGATCTAATATAACCAATGATCTACCTTACAAAGCCAAAGTTGACTTGATGTTCTTGGTGATTGCGACGATTTTTCTCTTTATTTATTGCTTATTGACTTTGATAGGCTCATCCAAGTATATACATGGCTGCGAGAAGTATAGGAATGAATCACATGGATGCGAAAATGTTTCCAATAATGACATCAACTACGCTAAAGGAATAGCAGTCTTGACAATCATAGCTTCACTGATGCCAATGTTACAAACTTCATTGCAATTGGGAGTAATTTATATGATTTGCAAGAAGAATAAACAGCTACCGAAATATGCAGAATATATGTGGATCATACTCAGTTTCGCCTTATGGTTATTTGACACATTTAGTGCTAAAGAGTATGCGACAAACAATATTCAAACGTGTGCCCATGGAACCCATAGCTGGGACATACTGGGTATCATTTTTATACCGATGACAATATTTTTTCGCTTTCATAGTTGCATTGTTTTTGCTAACATACGAGAGAAGGCTTATGATTCATCTTCGGCTCATTAAGAATTTCAAATAAATATTTTAAAATGCATTCCTTTCAGCAATATTAACTGTACATTTGGTATTCAAAATGCACCGTTTTCGATCCTTATCCTCTCATTGACACTATTGAGGTGTGCGTCTACGAGTGTGTTTTTAAGTAAATCCAAAGCATATTACGACGCGTTTCTATCAGAACTTAATTTGATCTTCATCAGGTAACTTCGGAATTCAAATATTCTACATTAAATTCATTAACTTATATCAAAAGGAAGATATAAGAGCTCATAATAGAATGAGCTCTCAACAAGAATCTGATGATAAGTTTGAACTGTAGGACGTAGAAGATCACAAGAGTGTGATTCCAAGCATATTCCGACCAGTCTCGACCATGGCTTAATCTGATCTACATCATTATATAACTATAGTTATAATATTAAGATCTCACCTGATGAAATGTCATAAAGTCAGAAACAACCGTTGTGTCATGATAGGGCGTCTATATTTTAATCACACGACTACACCCACACCTCCTACCTCACTGAAAACTTCTGAAAATATATGAAAACTCTCTCTCGATGAGAACATCATTCTAATTTAGCTTAACATTTTTCCTTTTAGATTTGTCTTTCTTTAACGAAATTAATAATAATACAGTGTTCTTGAATTTACAGTTATAATTATAAGATAAATTGTAGAATGATAGTTTTTAATTGAAAGAATATCGAAATAGTCAATGATTCGACTTCTAAGTATTCTTAAATAGAAGTAAAAAATAAATGCTGATCTCTAGAAAAAAAGAAAAAATAATTTGGTTATGCGTATATCAAATGAGTGTTGTTTATAATCTCAAGGTAAACAGTTCGATTTAGCTTTGTGGCCCATTTAAATCCTGTGCCTTTTGGATCAGTCCATTGGGACCTTCGAGCATTGAAAGACGTGTGAGAAGTGGAGCACAGTTACGTAAAGAATCGACAGCATTTGCATTCTTTTCCAGTTTTTGAGCGGCTACAAAACATTTTTCTGCACTTTTTCCATCGAGCAATTTCATATAAGATTCTCCCAACTTGATGATATCATTCGACATATCACGAGTGAGATGTACGAGAAGAACAGGCTCAGTATCGACAATTTTCATCATATTTTCGTATTCATGATCAAGAGCCCATTCAACCAAACGTTGAACATAACCACAGAAGATATAGAAAAAATAAACACGCGGATATTCCGAAACAATCTTAGGTATAATCTGTTCTCCGAGTGTACCAGATGAAATCCAGATAATCCTTTTATCCGTTTCGTATTGAATCAAAGCCAGTGCATCGTCAATAGTAGACACGAATTCGATTGGAGCGACATTTTCCTCGATGCAGCAGATAAGTTCATTGATCCCACCGGGTGGCATAGAGGCAACTGGTTCGGCCGCATTTTGAAATTGTTTCTTCAGTGCTATATATTCTCCCATAACTCCAATATGTGTATCCAGCCAGACTATACGAAGACCATTGCCCAGAGCCATCTTGCATAAACTTATAATAATTAATCTATAAAAATCAGAACTGTGCTACGTGTCGATAAATGGCAAGTCTTTATAAGCAAAAATGTAATTTCTTAGCGAACTCATATACTCTTTTGCTGTCGCAAAAATATTTTAAAGAGTGCAGCCACTAACGCTAGCGAAAAGACGTAGATGTTCGCGCGCCTGTCATTCCTATTCTACAAGTGGTAATTGAGTCATACAAATCTGTAGAATGTCAGAATGAATTAAAAACATTACTTATATTATGTTTTTAACAGAAACGGCCCAATCAAGTATTGATTTATAACTAAAGATTGTAATGGAGAATTTTCTGTGAAATTTTCATTTGAAGATATTTTCATGTGTGATTCTGGGCAAGCAACTCTAATCACTATAAATAATGAAAGAGTATGATTGTTTTTCTCACTGGCTTGTGAATAATATTTTTTGTAACACTAATTATGGAATTCTTTTTTTTTAAATTTTACTCACGAATGTAGAGGGCGTGGCAAAATTCAAATTATAACCAGTTTTCAGTAAAAATCTGATATCTGATTTCTAAATATAAAAACAAGATATCTACAATCCAATGCGACTTTCGCAGTTAATAGATATCAGCTTTCAGTTATTAAACTCCGAATGCTGATTTTAAAATACCAACAAATGTTATATATCAGATATTTACTTACTTCTAGTTTTAGGATTTTCAAAAATCATTCAATAATCATTATATACCTGTAGTTATAAATCCCTAGCAGATATCAGATATTTATTTCCTATGTATGATTTTTAAATGGTAGTAGTTTACAGATATCAGGTAGTTGGTCCACATAATACTTTGAAAATTTTTTTGCAAATGCTTGATGGTCGTTTTCTAATTCTAGCTTGAAATCTATAAGATTCCAAATATCAGATGTCTAGTACATATTATTCAATTGATTATTAGAAATGTTTCAGATTTTAGATAGGTCAACTTTTTCTGGTTCAGCATTACCAAGGAGTTTACGGGAAATAAATCAATTATATGAAATACACAATTTGTTTTATTTTGTGAATGAAAAAATACCTATAAACAATGAACAGAATGTTTAGCCTATTTTAGCTTATTTTATCTAAATTGTATTCTATATGTACTAACTTTTTCGTGGATGTGCTAATTACACGCTAATTATGATCATTCTATTGACATGCATTTAATGTAATATCTAAAAATATAGCAATCCATATCTAAATTAATACAGTTGTATCTATTTCGGTGAAACAACACCTTTTAAAAAATTGT